GGCTGTGCTCTTTACAAGTAATCTTCACTGGGCTTGGTGAGGATAGAGCAAAACAAGTCACACAGTTCTTACACTAAAAAGTTCGATTTCAAACACTCTCAAGAGTAATACGATCTTGTAGGAGGTTGGAACTCAAGGATGCCTAATCAGTTACTTGGTGTGGGTTTAATGCTCCCTTGCTGTGCGAGTCCTGACTTAATCGAAGCTTGCCTTGGGAGGTCGGGACAAGCTTCCAGGTTATAGTCTCTTACTCGGAACAGACAACAGGACACCCTGATGATCTCCTCATGGGGCGCTGCCTTGGACCTGCGGGAGGGTGGGAGGATTTCCCTGTAACAAAAAAAAAAAAAAAAAAAAGATCTTGTGCCTTAAAAAAGAGTTGGAACAATGTCCTAGAAGAAAAGTAATACATTTTTTTTTTAATATTTTTAAACTTGTTGATTAGTATTTCATGACAAAAAATCAAATTGTTTCAACTTTGGCTTGCAAGAAGATGTTTCTGTTATTTGAAAAACAGAAAAATCTTCTCACAATGCTGATTGTGTCTAGCTGCCTAATAGGACAAAAAAGAATATAAAATAGAAGATTTGTATACGGTTTATTGATTTTTCATCCTCTACAAATTCAATTGTTGTAAACTTTCTAGACTAGTCTATTTTGTAAAAAAAAAAAAAAACAGAACTCAAAACTTTTTTTTTGGGAAATTAATTATTATTGTTTTTTAATAAATTCAACATAGTGAAAATATTACTATTCCTCCCTCAATCACCTTTTGCATTAATTCGGCGTGGATTTGAAGTATTTTTAGGCTGTATAGGGAGATTCTGAAAGTGTTTTTTTCTTTTTTTAAATCTATAAAAAAGAATAGATTGATAGATGCATGAATGTTTGGAAAATTACCTGCACAGATTGGGAAGTTCCCATAGGTTTTTGTTTAGGTCTGCAATTTAAACTTTTTACGGAATATCACACCTGCCTTCACACAAATTATTTGTCCTTATGATTTACTTAATTTAATGGAAAAATTACAATAAAAAAAAATAAAAAAGAAACTTGAGTTCTTAATTTTGTCATTTTAAAACCCAAAATTTTTATTTATTTTCAATTTAAACTATTTGTCTATTTTCGTTAAGTAAATTCAATGAAAAATGATATTTTAAATATTTTATGTATACTTGCATTGAATATAATAACTAAAATACTCTTTTTCTATCGATTGTACTTAACAAAAAAGGACAAATGATTTAAATTGAAAGAAAATAAAAATATTAGAGTTTAAATTGATACAATTAAAAACTCAAGATCTATTTTGTCCCTAATTTAATTATATCCCAATATAGTATTTTGCTAAAATTAATTATATTTTGTGTTTTAATTAAAAAAAAATCAAAAACAATTGGCTGTATTTTTTTTTTTAATAAATTATATCTGAATATTTGTCTCCTTAAAAGTGAATCAATACCATCAATTAATAGCATGTGTGCCAGGTATAGTATTCCGTAAAAAATATTAACCTTCTTAACAATTCGGGAGTGAAGTAAATTAATATTATTAATAGCTTAGGAAAGTTGAGGGACAAATAACACACGTTTGATAGGTATGAGGAGGTAACGTGAACTTTCCGTGTAAGAAAAGAAAATGAAGTGAAAATTTTATTTTATTTTTTTCTTTGGTTTAATTGGTTATGAAAGAAAAAAAAAAGAATAAATATTTATCAAGAATAAATAAATTTGATAAGCAATAAAAAAAATAATTGTATATAAATAACTTCGTTTCTCTCTCGAAAGACATTCAAAGATCTATAACATTCAAAGATCCAAAACATCGCATTAGAGTCCTCACATTTGCGAGTCCTCACATCGTGATTGTTTTTTACGATTACAAGCTTATGAGAAATCATTTTTGGGTTTAGGTATGTGAAACTTATGTTTTGATCATGAATTTGAATAAAGATTTACATAGGGAGAGAAAAAGGCAATGCAATGGAGACGTGAATGAAATATAAACTAATTTTTTTTTATTTCCTTTTTCTTTTCCAAATTTCTATCTAAATTTATTATTCAAAAACAGCCAGGACAAAAAATCACAAATCAAAGTGGACTCTTCAACAGTGGAAAAATCAAATGAGTGAAATTTGAAGTAATTTGTAATATGTGGCCATTTTTTATGCACTTGGCTTTGTTTTCACTGGTACAAGCAAAGGTAGGCCCTTGCTCTGATGATGACAAGGCATATGGTTCGAGCCCCTAAGCCCGTTTGGTAGAATTGTAGGAGAGTGATTATAAATTATAACTTAACAAATTATAACTCATAGTTATGAGCATAAGCTGGTAACCTATTTAGTGTAGCTGTGGGATTATAGATTTAAACAGCAGAGTAGTGTTTAGTAAATAAGCTATAAAGTAGTTTTTTGTTGTGTAATTATTATTTTTGCCCTTATGAACATAAAAATTATAATTTTGTCATTTTCTTTACTTTAAATTTTGAAAAAGTTATTTCATTAATGGAAATTGATTAATTAGTACCTAATTTAGTACATTTTTACATTACCTCAAATTTATTTATTTTTTAATAATATTGAGTTCACAAGAGAACAAAAAAAAATGTCATTGCAATAAAAATACAATAAGTTACTATTAAGACAAGAAAAATAAAACTTCCTAGATATTTAAAGAACTCCTAATTTCATCTACAAATTGACATACAAATACTATGTCTCTTCACTTTTATCTCGTTGTCATCACATGCAACATCATTTCCATGGCATGCTTGTTGAGACAAAGATCCTTCCTCTTCATTAGGCACATAATCCGTGAATCTATCATAAGAGTCAAATGCAATAGCACAGAACTACTTTGTCGGATGAAATTATGAATTATCATTGTTGCACAGACAAGTTTGACTTGGGTTGACCACTTGTAGTTTGGTGGGATATCCTTTATCATCGGTCATCTTACTTTCCAAACCCCAAACGTTCTTTCTATTACACTTCTAAGTGATGAATGTGCTTGGTTGAATTTTTCTTGTGCATTTTAGGGGGATTGACCATGTTAAAAAATGCCACAAAATTCAATGCTTAAAGACTTGACAAGAATGGTTGATCATGTTTCCATTGGCAAATTTCTATATCAAGTTGATGAATTACTCCAATTAAATAATGTATTTTTACTTCTACCAAATAATATGGTAATGAAGAAACAACTTGGAAATTTTCTTCATCAAAAAAATGGATCTCTTCTTGAAGATCCAAAATTTTTCTTTCACGCCAATATATTTCAAATTGACAAATTTGAATGGGCAAATGCAATTTGTTTGTCATTTCTTCTTCTATGCTTTCTTCAAGGCCCTCATTTTCTCCTTGTCTTCTACGCCTAGCCATTACAATGGTAGTCCCACTGGGCGTGCCAAAAATAAATGTTGGTTTTTTTGGCTTTCGAATGTTAAAAATCTAATTTGAGCGTGCCAGTAAGGATCAATAAGTCCTTACAGAAATATTAAGTGCCAACCAATTAACAGACGATTGCTTCAAAGTTTTTTTAGCCTCACTGAAAAACACTTTTACTGGTGGCTTATTTTAGGAGAAAATTCAGAAGAACTAATCACCAAGAGTACAAGAAAGAGGGAGAAACAGTGTCAAAAATCAAATTTCATTAAGTAAACAAGAGTTTACAATTGTATCTTCGCACTTTCACAGTTTCGAAGGGGTTTACAGCGACAGACTAACTTGAAACTACCCCTAAGAATTTGACGTGCAGTACAGGGAAGTAAAGGACTGGAAATGTAAAAGACTAGAAAATGTAAAGTAAATAAACTGGTTTCTGGATCTGAGTTTGGGTCCCCATGTAGCCATCAATGGCTATTTATAGGAAAAAAAAACTTCCAGCAATAACTACCCAATAACCACCTAAAACTATCCACTCTTCCACCTTCATTCCTACAATGCCACATATCCCTCCATGTCTTCCACTAAGTCACTTTGTCCATTATATTCTTCACGTGTGCTTTAACTTCTTTCACTTTGTCTTTCACGTTCCACCATGCAAGACCACTGACTTTGTAACTTCTCTTAACTTTTGATTGATCAAGAAAGTGACACGTGTCCTACAATAATAATAATAATAATAATATTACTATTTATGGTGTCAACAGTATCCCATGCCGTGTGGCAATTATGGTATCTGTTCCTCAAATGGACAGTGCAGTTGTCTTGAGGAAGCCACTGGCAGCAGCACTTTCAGGCAAATAAATTATAAGCAACCCAACCTTGGATGTTTCGCTGTTACACCCATTTCTTGCGACCATTCTCAATATCACACCCTTTTGGAGCTTAAGAATACTAGTTACATGACAAATACTTGGATGAAAAATTAGCATTAGAGGATTGCAAAATGAGTTGATTGAAATCTCTTCATGCAAACTAGCTTTCTTTGTACATATTTTGGAAAATGATTCAAAGCAAGGTTGCTTATTATTCTCTGAAGTCTTTTCTCTTATAAGTAACAAGGGAACAACGCATGAGACCGCTACTGTATTTCTTAAAGTGCAGAAATCTCTGACTACATAGAATCCTATTCCTTCAGCAATAAATTCTCTTCAAAGGAAATCAAGGCAAGTCAAGATCATACTGGGTTCCATTCTCGGAAATTTTTTTGTTGCATTTTTTGTGGTTTCCTCTTTCATTTTCTTTTTCAAAAAGAAACAAGAGTCTGAGGATTTTGATGAGTTCTTTGTCGATCAAGTACTAGGAATGCCTACCAAATTTTCTTACGAAGAATTGAGAGCCATAACAAGCAATTTCAACGATAAGCTTGGGGAAGGAGGATTTGCGTCAGTGTTTCAAGGGACATTAAGCAATGGCACCAAAGTAGCGATGAAGCGTCTCAATGGTTTTGGTCAGGTTAGCTGAAGTTGAAACAATAGACAGCATTCACCACGTCAATTTGGTGAGATTAATTGGATTTTGTGTTGAAAAATCATATCGACTTCTAGTTTATGAGTACATGTCTAATGGACCCTTGGATACATGGATCTTCCAAAGGTACCAGTCGCTCACTCTTGGGTGGAAATCCAAAAGGAAGATCATCATGGATATAGTCAAGAGACTAACCTATCTCCATGAGGAATGTAGGCAAAAGATATTTCACTTGGAAATCAAACCCCAAAACATCCTCTTAGATGAAGACTTCAATGTGGAAATTTTTGATTTTGGATTGTCAAAACTAATTGATAAGGACCAAAGCCAAGTTATAACAATGATGAGAGCAACACCAGGCTATTTGGCTCCAAAATGGTTGACCTTAATTATCACCGAGAAAGTAGATTTTCATAGCTTTGGTGTCATGGTTTTGGAAATGTTGTGTGGACGCAAAAATTTGGATAGGTCTCAGCCTGAGGAAGATATGCATCTGCTAGATCTTTTTAAGAGGAAAGCAGAAGAGGAACAATTTCTAAATATTGTTGATAAATACAATAATGACATGTAAACACATAGAACAGAAGTTGTTGAGATGATGAGGGTTGTTGTGTGGTGTCTACAAAATGATTTTTCCAAGAGGCCTTCCATGTCTGTGGTGGTTTAGGTCTTGGAGGGTTCAGTGGGTGTTCAAAACAATTTGGATTATAATTTCACAACTCCTGTAGCGCCAAGACCAATTACAGCCGCTGGTCACCAAGGGGATGCCATTGGTGTTGCTACTTTATTATCAGCTTTATCAGGACCAAGGTAAATAAAGTAGACTCCAACGAGCAAATTACAGCTGATTGTTTTAAAGTTTTTGTATTCCATTTCTTATGTAGTGAACTATAATCAAAGATTTTTATTTGTGTAAATCACAATCCATGATACCGGGATTAATGGTGTTTTAGGTAGAGTTGATAAAATTTCAACTCTCACAATAATATTTGCCCTTTCTGTTTCTTCAAGTTCTTCTATCATCATTTCCATAGCACATACAAAACCACATGAATATAGTGAGCAAGATTAGATTTCCCATAGTTTTAATTCAAACATTTTCAAGTTCCATAGTGAATGTGAAGTAGATAGATATTTTATGAGAGTATGAGAGTTTCTCATGATTCAAGTAAAACAAGAGAACATCAAATTAGTGGGTTATGGTTCAAACTTTATTCTCCAAATGATGTGTCATAGAATAAATTAAGTTTTAAGAAGGAACAAAGCCAGCTTACATTTTGGACAAATTTGGAGCCATTTTATGACTAATTAATTTGGTTAAAGGGTTATGCTCTTGAATTGCTGGAAAAGAAAGCATTTTGTACATCAGTTAGTCTACAGAATGTACAATTTTTTTTTCTCACTTTAAGCTTGACTGGGAAAACAAAAAGAGTGTGACATGATGAACAAAAAATTCTACTGCCATGTTTTTCCCCCTCTGCTTTCCCGAAATCTACTGATCTGTAACAAGAAATGGATAAACTGAAATATGATTTGCAATATTTTTCTTGTCTCATTTTTTTACATGTATTCTGCGCATTAGATCAATGCCTAAACTGTTGTGCGTTCAATGGCTAAACTATGCACTACACGGATCAAGCCTATTTGAATGAAGGTGAAAAATATAATTGGGGCCCTTTGCAATATTGTTTTTTTTTAATTTTTATTTAAAATTCTTAACAATTTCCCTAACCTTTACAATCAAAATAATTTTGATAAAAATGCCTTTTATTTATTTATTTATTTGACTTGACCAGAGAATGGAAGAGGTGTAATGTAAATGTCCTCCAGTAAGTGAGGTTGTTTTCTCTCTTTATGATTTGACTGATAGTCTAAGATAACTCATGAAGTGTTATTCTTGTTTGATAATTTAAGATTTAATCATTTTTATTTATTTACTGAGAGATTTTTTGCTCTTTTTTTTTTTTTTTTGAGAATTATTTTGAGTATAAGTTCTTTTATGTATATATTGTGTAGTAGTGAATATATAGTAAGTAAGGCCCTCCTAAATAGAGCGCCTAGCCTTAGGCACCACTAGTTTGCAGTAGATATGGTACAATAGCATGGCAAGTTTGGACCGCAGTTACTCAAAAGTGGCTAATAGCAATACAAATAAGCTATTTTAAACAGATAAATAAAAGATAAGCATCATAATCTTGAATGTTCTGAAATTATTCCTTTGTTCTGCAAAGCTTCAAAACATCACAAGCTCATAGAGCTAAAGAATGCTACCTACCTCATTGTTGAGGCTGACATGTCAAATGATATGAGTACATAGACATGAAGTAGTTGCAAACAAGCCTATTTAAGTAGTTTCTACTACAGAGCTGCTCTGTTTTGTTCAAGTGATGTTTCCAATGAAAATTCAAGTAGAAAATGCTCTATATATACTAACAGAGACCATCTCAATGAAGGTCAATATAAAGTGCAATCAATAATCAATTTGTAATCAAACTGGTATCTAGACTCGGAGCGTTTTTCGGTCTCTTTATTGTAATTTTTATCTTTGTTTTCCTTTGGGTAAATTACAAATACAGTAAGATTTGCTTAAAATACAAATTGTCCCTTGTGATTTGAAAAATTGCAAATACCTCTGAAAGGGAGATTTATGATCTGGATTGGGCTGTGGTAATGGCCGGACAGATTTGGGCCGGACAAGATTGGGCTGAGGTAGCGCCGTCCTGTGCTGAAAGGATTTGCTCGGTTAAGGCAAGGCGTGGTTGGACCGAGCTACATAGCTGCATGGTATAGAGGCCAGTCAAGTGAGATGTCCGGCGCCAGGAAAGGCGTGGTTGGACCGGGGTTCATGAGTTAGCCCGGCAGGAAGGCTGACGGCAAATCAGCATGAGCTGTCCCGAGCTCGGCTCTGCCGGGATGCAGCCGAGTTCAGTCCTCATTAAGCGCGGCGAGGTGAGTGCTCTGGCCAGTTGCATAGCACGGTCGTTGATAGCCGAGAAGATGCAGCCTGGCTGCCGAGCTCCCAGTAGAGTGGGCTGGCAGTTTGGTTAAGTGGTGTTCAGCAAGATTTGTGCTGACAGATGGGATAGCAGCACCACGTGTCAAGAGATGGATGAGAGTAGATTTGGGGCACAGAAGGTATATAAGTGAGTCTGCGCCCCCCATGCTAAGCAGATGAACATTTGGTGAGACATACACTAAACACTCAACACTCTCCCATTCTCTTTATCTATCCCCTGTGTGTGTGTTCTAACTTGATCGTCAGAGGGGTTTTCCGGCCACACACCGCTGGGTAGCTCACCGCCGTTGTGCTCGCAGGTCGATTGGACAGACAGGAGTTTGGAAGAAAGGAGTGCAGGCTTGCCTGAATATTTGCTCCCCGCACAATTGGCGCCGTCTGTGGGAAGCTTTTCAGACAAAACCTTGTCTTCCCGGCTCATCTGATCGCCGTCCATGGCGAACAACGACGAGGTTCTGTTGTCCGCCATCGATAGAGTCACTCCAGAGTCAGGCAGACGAAGAGAAGGACATCCCGCCATCCCTCCAATGGCGGACCTGGAGACATTCCCAGGAGGACAGTCGAGAGACGCGCGAGATAAGCGCGGAAGAAGTTATGGTCATTCGCGAAGTCCAGACGGTCATCGGTGGCGGAGAGAATCACACGCCAGACGTCTAGAGCACAAGCTGAGAGACCAAGACGCCGTCATTCGAAGAATGGCGGCAGAGATGGAGGATCTTAAGAGGCATGTCAAAGGGAAGGGTGTAGCTGGAGTGGGAGACCACAGTGAGCGCACCCAACCCCGCCGTTCATGTAGTCAGAGCCAGCGGCGTACTCCGTTCATTTCAATCACCAGAAGTTACAAGGTTAGAGATTCCGATGCGCACGTAGAGAAGTCCAGCGCGCAAGACAGCACCTATCAACCCTCACGTCCGGCAACGACGTCGAGATATTCTTATTCCGCTCGTTCAGAGGATTTGCGGGTAGTCTTGAAAGAACGGGCTCGCCGGCGAGAAGCTCAGAGAGTGCCGGCGTTCCAGCGGTTATCATATGGAGGTCGCGCCAGTGAAGAGGTCGTAATGCCTCCGCCTCGCCTAGCTGTGCTTCCTTCTCTAGACGCAGACTTGGCGAGGCTGAGCGCCACTTCTTTCTCCCTAAGGATAGAAACCATACCGCTCTCAGCAAGCTCTTACCAGCCCAAGTTTATGCTTTATGACGAAAAAACCGATCCGTACATACATGTGAGCCACTTCCGGCAGGTCATGGCCGGACACCGGCGTAATGACGCTCTCATGTGCCTTATTTTTCCATCAAGTTTGGGCGAGTTGGGCTTGAAATGGTTTGAGAAGTTGCTGGAGGAGAGCATCGAAAGGTGGCAGCAGTTGGCGGAAGCGTTCGTGATTCATTTCAAAACCAACGCGAAAATGCCAAAGGAAGTGGACCACCTTCTTAGTGTCAAGATGGAGTCGAGTGACACCCTCAATGCATACAACTCTAGGTACTGGGAAACCTTCAATGAGATCCTAGATTGACCGGTCAACCTGGCAATCACCTAATATAAACGCGGTCTCCCGGTCGGACATGGGCTGAGGGACTCGCTTACAATGAGCCAGCCGAAGTCCATGGGGCAACTAATGCAGCGCATCAATGAGCACATCCGAGTAGAGGATGTTGCAGCAGTATCCACCGCGAAGACAACCCCGGTGGCAATGGATAAGAGGGCGACTGGGTTTTGAGGAAGGTCATGGGCAATACCCTGGTGCCAGGTGAAAGCAAACTAGGGGCAAATTAGAAAGGACCCTACAAGATAATCGGTCTGGCCGGCAAGGGGGCATACCGCTTGGAGGATTAGGAGGGTAAAGATATACCCTGGCCATGGAATGCAGCTAACCTCGAACTGTACTACTTTTAGCTTTTGTTTTCTTTTTGTGCAAAGGAATTTTTTGCCTCACTTCAGAATGTAATACCCTTTTTGTCAATGTAATAGAAGTGAATTACTTTTGTTGAAGAACTTTTCTATTTTCGCCGAGATGATTTACTCTGGCTAGATGAGTTGATGACTTGCTCAACTTTGAAGTTTCAGCCGAGATGATTTACTCCGGCTAGGTGAGTTGATGATTTGCTCAACTCTGAAGTTTCCGCCGAGATGATTTACTTCGGCCAGATGAGTTGATGACTTGCTTAACTTTGAAGTTTCAGCCGAGATGATTTACTCTGGCTAGATGAGTTGATGATTTGCTCAACTCTGAAGTTTCAGCCGAGATGATGTACTCCGGCTAGGTGAGTTGATGATTTGCTCAACTCTGAAGTTTCAATCGAGATGATTTACTCTGGCTAGGTGAGTTGATGATTTGCTCAACTTTGAAGTTTCAGCCGAAATAATGTACTCCGGCTAGGTGAGTTGATGATTTGCTCAACTCTGAAGTTTCAGCAGAGATGATTTACTCCGGCCAGATGAGTTGATGATTTGCTTAACTCTGAAGTTTCAGCGGAGATGATTTACTCTGGCCAGATGAGTTGATGATTTGCTCAACTCTGAAGTTTCAGCCGAGATGATTTACTCCGGCCAGATGAGT